AACCCGGCTTCGAACGATGCCAGGGTTGGGGCATCCACAACCTCCCCGGGCAACCTGTGCAAGTGTCTCCCCACCCTCTCAGTAGAACAAAACAAATCAAAACGGAAAAAAACCAACCAAACAAACAAAACCACTAACAAACAAACCCACAAAAACAAACAAAAAACAAACAAAAACAAACAAACAAAAAACACACTTTGGTTTTGGGGTCCTATTTTGCAGCCCCTGCCTGCGTTTGCTGCTGGGCCAGATGAAGGCGCCTCAGGAAGAGCGCGAGCAGCGGGTCCAGCACACAGGGGCAGGCAGCTGCCTGCACATCGCAGGCCGCTCTGCGCACCAAAGGAGAGCAGTAACCACCACATCTGTACTGTTGCTTTCCCTTAACACCGCCGTTTCATGGGGGTTTCGGGGTTTTCGCGCCCCACGCCGCGCCCGGGGCCCCGTGAGGGGGCGCGGCCGCCATCTTGGCGGGCGGGCCTCGCCTGGCGCGGGGCGACACCTGCTGGGCAGTGCGGGCGCTCCCGGGCTCCGGCTCCGTGAGGGAACGCGGCCCCGGGCTCCGGCTCCGTGAGGGAGCATCGCCTGCTCCGTGAGGGAGGGAACACTGCCGGGCTCCATCCCCGTCGCGCCCGACCCTCCTCCAAACCCCCCCGCTACACCCCTGCCTGCCCCTCCATCCCCACCGGCCTGGTTGCCTTTGGTTAAGCGACACCCCCCACCACGCGGAGCTGGGTTTCACAGAATCACGGAGTAGACCAGGTTGGAAAAGACCTCCGAGATCATCAAGTCCAGCCCTTGATCCAACCCCAGACCATGGCACTGATGCCACGTCCAGTCTCATCTTAAACACCTCCAGGGATGGAGAATCCACCACTTCCCTGGGCAGCCCATTCCAGTGTGTGATTACTCTCTCTGTAAAAAATTTTCTCCTAATATTCAGCCTAAACCTCCCCTGGCAGAGCTTGAGACCGTGCCCTCTTATCTTCCTGATAGTTGCCTGGTAGAAGAGACCAACCCCCACCTGGCTACAACCTCCTGTCAGGGGGTTGTAGAGTGATGAGGTCTCCCAGCGCTGAGTACAGGGCAAGAATCCCTTCCCTTCTCCTTCTGCCACACTCTTCCTGAGCCAGGCCAGGATCCATTGGCCCCCTGGGCACACTCTGGTTCGTGTTCAGCCTCCTGTCAATCCAAACTCCCAGGTCCCTTTCTGTCAGGTTTGTAGACAAATCCGAGCACACCAAGGTTATCTGCCTGACTTTTTACCCTCTTGGTTGCTCTCCTTCAGTCTGTAATTTCCTGTTTGCTTCTAAAGCTATTTTTACTGAGGGGAAAAAAAAAATAAAAATAAAAAACCCAAGCGTTTATAACAGTCCTGTCTGTTCCCTAGCAGGATAAAGCAAAGAGCAGAGTGAGCCTGGCAGGGGTCACGGATTAACTCTCCGGGAGCAGCCTGTCCCACCTCCTGGCTCCACAGCCCTTCCGTCCCGGCACGTGTGGGTCGTGCTCCTTCACTGCCTTCTCCTACCTGCCAGCCCCTCACTACAACATGGGAAAAATAATACTTATTGACCATCATAGCTGGGTTTGGTTTGGGTTTTTTTCATCTTTGAAAGCCTTTGTCAGCTTTGTCTGTAAATGGAAGAGGGTAGGGACGTCTACTGGAAATATGTGTACCTACACGCACGTATGTGGTAGGCAAGAGGATATCCTGGCTCTGGGAGATGGGACTTTCTAAGAGAGCAGGCAGGATCCAAGCGCCCAGGAGAAATCTGGAGGGGGTGACCCTTGCACAAGTGATGCTCACATCGCCCCAGCACCATGAGCAGGGCTCTCTGAGCCCACAGTTCATCCAGCTGCCTGGGAGAGCCTCAAAGCCCCAAAACTGCCAGGGGAGCCACACATGGTGAGGCCCCGAGTGTGTTCACAGCAAGCTGTGAACTTCCCCCAGCCAACCATGGAGCCAAAGCAAAGCTTTAACTGGCTCTCCAACAGCCTGGGCTTAGCTGGGCTCCAAGAGGCTAAGCTTGTGAGCCAGCAGGGATTGCCCCGCATCGCTGCAAGAGAGGAGAGCACAGATACAGCAGAGCTGCTGCAGAGTCTGGGCTGTGCTGGTACCCCATGGCCTTTCCAAGCCCTTCTTCATGGGCTTCCCACAAGCTTGGGGTGACCTGTGGTCTGATGTAGACCAGACCAACTGGGCTGGTGGGACCTCCCCAGAGTGCCCTCAGCACCCTCCTTCCCCCTCCCTCCCTCCCCAGCTAACACACCCCAAGTTTCATTTACCTTCAGGACAGCCTGGCTGTGTGGCCACAGATGCCACGAGAAGATGAGGTGAGAGGAGCCCAGGTGGCTTCTTCAGGGATCTTCGCCTTCCTGGTGGCTGTGAGGAACAGCTCTGGCTGGCTGCTGGAATGATCACAACTCCTGGATCTGGAGTGCTCGTAAAACCAAAGCCCCCACCGCGTTTCCATCCATCCTGGCTGTTCTGTGGGAGTCCCCAGGAGCAGCTGCTTGATCACACAGTCCAGAGATTTCCCCAGTTTGCTCCTCCAGGGGAAAGCAGGGGGGTCTGAACCACTAAGGGAGGTGTGGGATCACCCCACCCAGCCCCCGCTGACCTGACGATCTCACTGATCTCGTCTGTCCTCAGCCAGTCCACACTGCAGCCTGTTCCCCTGCACAGCCGGGGTGTGGGGGAAGCCTCCTGGCCAGCCCTGCAGCCCAGCGAGTGGCACAGCCCCTGGAGAGGGTCCCCAGCCCCGCGGGGAGCCCGGGGACACTCAGTGCCGGCACACGTCGAGCAGAGCCGGGGGAGCCGAGGGGCTGGCTCCGCACACGCCGGAGGGGTGCAGCGCCGAGCACAAAGGCTCTCCCATCCTGGCCGCGCTGCCCTGGAACGCAGCATGGGAACCACTGCCCAGCGCGAATCTGTTCCTCATTATCCTCCCCGGCTGCCAACTGATCCCAGCTCCGTCACCAGCCGCTCGCTGCTCAGCCCCGGCCAGCTCGCCTCCCGTCAGGCGAGCAACTTCTGCACCGCTTTGCCAGCCCGTGCTGCGGGGCAGACCCGCGCCAGGGCTGGCATCCCCCCTCCGGAGGTACTACTGCAGTGGAAACGAGTTGTTCGCTCCACCAACAGGCAGAGAAGGGTTCCACTGAAAGCAGGGATAGCATATGTACATGTATTTATATGTAGGTAAGCCAGAGGAAAACATCTTTAGGAAGACAAGGCAGAGGGGAGCTGCCTGCAAGGGGGCACACAGAAACACAGCTCTTCTCAGACACACTCAAGAGGCAGCAGGAAGAACCTGCCCCAGGGGAAATGTTTGCTGGGCATAAGGAGAAATTCATTCTGTGCAAGACCTACCCAGCCATGGTGTGGCTCTGGGGCACGGACAGTTGACACCTCTAATGGGAACATCCCAAATCCAGCGGGACAGTGCCCTGAGCTACCTGCTCTGGCTTTACCATCAGCCTTGTATGGAGCTGGGGTTGGACTGCAGACCTCTCAAGCCCCTTCCAGCCTAAAATTTACGTGATGCTCCAGCTTGCTTTTTGCAACAGTGATTTTAAGACTCCTTTGGAAGGCAGCCAACACCGATCCATTGCCCACAGCTCTTCCATCCAACTGATGCCAGAGCTGCCTGACATCCCCTGCTGACTTCACGAGTTTTGGTACCACAGAGAAAGTGGAGGAGCTGAGTATTGGAGAAAGTAAATCCCTGTGGAAAAAAATGTGCAGGTTTAATGGCAGGCTTTGAACAGAAGTCTGCGTGCAAAATGACGGGTCTGTGATAGTCAGCTCTGGGATGGGGTTTACTTACAGTAACAGTCAGAGGGTTGGATGTTCTGGGTTACAGTGACGAGCAGCTCCTCTGGTTGTGCCTTACTCTGTCCCGGAGAAGCAGAGGTTTGGGCACACGTGTTCGTGGTTTGGCCCATTCCTTGTGTTTTTCCACTGAAGCACTTTAGTATTTTTAGGCTGAAAGAGGCTGCTCTGTGCCGTGCTGGAAGGATCAGAGCGGGACGCTGCAAAGTGAAATACAGAGAGTGGAGTACAAGAATAAAAACTAACAAAAACCCTGTGGGGAAGGGTGCAGCAGGAGCCTGCTCATAACAGGGGGTGGGGTCGAGGGTGGGAAGAAGGGGCTCCAAGCTGCTGCCTGGCGGCACGGAAAGCCTGCACACACATTAGCTTCTAGGCTCAGATTTCTGTGGGAGACAGCTCAGATATCCATCAGCATTTCCCAAAGCTGAGGTGTCTACTTTCCCTCCTCTGAGCAACCTGCAGGCTGCAGACCCACCACTTCCAGGAAACAACCTGGTGCACTGCCAGAGTAATCGTGTCTGCAGGAGATGCTGGCGCTGAGGTCCAGCACGCAGAGCACAGCTCAGCCAGCGCTGCTGTTGGTGGGATGCAAGGCAGATGGGGAATGTCAGGAGGAGCAAGAGCTTCCACAGGGGCCAGCACAAAGCTCCCAGGGCCAGGAGCTGGATTTGACCCTGCCAAAAAGGACCTGGGGGCGATGGTAGATGCCAGGTTCAATACAACCCAAACATCCGCCTTGTGAATCAAGCAAACCACACTTACTCTCCTTCTGGAAAAGCGGAACCAGGACATCACAGGAAGAGCAACACCAGCACACACCGACATAGGGAGGCTCCTGTGATCCAGAACACCCTGAAACAGACCCCTCTGAACCCCGTTTTTGGCAAGGAGAGAGGTGGCACAGCCATGGGGAGACGTGGGCTCCCAGCACGCTGCTGCTGTGCCGCAGCCACGGCTCGGGGCACGAGGGCTGGCTGCAAGCAAGCACCTCTCTGGAAAGAATTTCACATTTTCCACAGTCATTATGGAAACCAGGAAATCCATTTAGGCACATCGAGGCTGAGAGGGGGGCTGGGGCCTCGAGTGGAGAGGAATGGAAAAGCACAGGAGGCACAGAACGGAACCAGGATGGGCAGGGGTTCCCAGGCAGCAGAGAGACCAGACTGCAGTGTCTGCTCCAACTCGTTTATTGAACATTACAAAATACTCTGCATATATTTTCACATTATAACAATATTCTTGCAAATAAGATATTAAGTCTTGAGTCATTTGTGGTGCCCGTGGCTACAGAAAACACTGACCCAGCTAGAGATTTAGTATGGCCCAATATCAGAAATCAAAACCAGAATAAGTCATACCTGAAATGCAAAACTATATAAAAACCTTTTAAAAACCTCATTCTCGTCTGGTGGGACTGCCAAAGGGTCTCTGTTGAGCCCTGTCAGCAGTGCCAGGGGTCCCACCAGCTCACTTGCCCCACGCTGGGCTCACCCACCCAGTGCATCCAAGTGTCCCCTTGGCACCCACTGTCTCAGCACACCCACAGAGCTGGAACAGGCAGTTTTTACCCACACTGGGGCATTAACTGTCCCTAAGATGAACATCTCCAACCCTCCTGCACTGCCAGTGCCCAGCCATTGTGCTCCTTTGTGTGCTGAGCAGTTTTTGGGGGCAGTTCTTTGCCCTTGGGGTCACACCAGGAATAATGCACTGTGTGGGTCATTGCCACCAGGTCCCACCACCCCCTCAGGAGGGAGCAGGGGTGGCTGGGAGGCAGGAGGTGGGGACAGACTTTCGAAGATGCACTCAGCTCACACCCATCACCCCCGTTCCTTACATACATTCATACCTGCTGCTGCCTCCGCTCCTCGCACCACGGCCAGCCCTCCCAGACGATGGGCCCCGGGCAACTGGAGGGCCCGGGACGTGGGCAGGATGAATGCCAAGGGTGCTGTGCAGGGCAGCTGCCTCCTAGCAAAGCCAGCAAGCCGAACCCCACAGGTGCTGGGAACACATCCAGGCAGGAGGCGTGAGGCTGGCACAGCAGGCTGGCTGCCAGAGGAGTCCCTGTGCGTACGGGTTCACTAGTCCAGCTCCTGGTGGAGCCAAACCCCAGGAGCGCTGCTCCCAGTCCTGAGAAGGTGGTGGCCTTGCCTCTGTGGTGCCTCCACCACGGGGGGAACGCAGAGCTGCCGTGGCAAGGAGCCCACCTCTGGGCTCCTGGCTGAGCTCCACGCACGCTGTGAGGAACCAGCACTGCGGCCGCCTCGAAGCCGAAGGCTCCGTCACTGGGTGTGGATGGGCTCTCATGCACCGGTCACCACTCCCAGTCCTTTCCCCTGAGGTGTCCTACTCACAGCCAGGCTGAAGATCAGCTCATACTCCTGCCCCTGTGAGCAGCCACAGCCCGTTTTCCAGCACCCCCACACCTCAGGGCAGCACAGCCGTGACAGGACCGGGTCTGGTTGGGATCCCAGCCCTGGGAGGAACATCTCTATCCTCCCAGCTGCTGAGATGTGCAGGGACTAGAGAGGAAGAATAAGGTTTGGGCTCTGTGCCTCCCTGGGTGGACAGGGCTGGTACCTGCTGTCACAGCACAAAGCCAAGTTATCAACCAGGTGCACGAGCAGAGCCTGCCCTGGAGTGCAGCTCCAGGAGTACCGGCTTCTCCTGCCACTCCTGGAGTTTATGGAGACACACACAAGCTTTACAAGGCAAGACAGCAGAGCAGTCAGCAGGTCAGAGCCTGTCTGCAGCCCCCAGCCCCTTCCCCATCCACAGGGTGCCTCAGAGGTGGCTCGCTCTGTTAAACATCAGCCACCTGGGCTCCACGGCGGGTGGCATCCTGCCCTGCTCCTCCGTGGCCATCAAAGGCTGCAGCTCCTGCTGCTCAGGGCCGTCTGGGCTGCTGTCACTCTGCGACCTGCCGCTCCTGGAGACGTGGCTGGGGAACTGGAAGCAGGAGCTCTGCTCTGGGGTCACCTGGCTCGCAGACTGGGGTTGCTCCTCCAGCACAGGGCAGGCGAATCTCCTGTGCTGAGCTCCACTCTCGGTGCCTGGCGGGGAAGCGATGCTCTCCAGGGAGGAGATGCTTTGGTTCCAAGCCTTCTGCATATCCACTGGCACGATTTTGGTGGTCTCCGAGGAGATGTAAACAGCCAGATCAGCCTGGTCTCCTTTCCATGGCAGCTCCTTCTCTGCCAAGGTGGGCGATGGTGGGATGATGCAGGGGCTGGGGCAGACGTCCAGGCTGCCTGTGGGTGCAGCAAGAGGAACAGTGAGAAGGAGCTTGCACAGCTCTCGGTCTCTCCTTAGACCCAAGTCTTTCCTTGGACTCTGCAAACATTGCAGAACCACCCACTACCAAATGGCCACAGAATCCTAGAACATCCTGGGTTGGAAGGGATCATGCAGTCCAGCTCCTGGCCTTTCGCAGGACAACTGCAAGAATCACACCCTGTGCTGGCCCAGGGATGCAGGAAACACCAAGGAGGCTCTGCCATGCCTCCAGAGGACACCCAGTGATTCTCCCACTCATGCTCTGCTGATTTTGGTTTTGCCCAGCCCAAGGCAAATTTGCTCCACAGGTGGAGGAAGGACAAGCTATCCCCTGGCAGCTGCCCTGGAGTGGAGCATCGATGCTTACCATGAGTTGTCTTTCCCTGCAAGACCTCGTCGGTGGCTCGAGCGACAAACACAATCCCTTCATCATCCTCTTTCTCTGTCTCCGAGCTGTCGCTCTCCTCCTCCTCTGAGCTGACCATCACCAGGACAGGAGCTGCAGGCAGATAGAGGGAGTTGGTTTGGAGGATGGGGCACCCTGTGGGGGAAGGACTGCATCCATGGGAGAAGGATGTGGTGCCAGTGCAACCGAGCTGGCAGTGGGCAGGCACAGCGGGTGCTCCCATCCTATCCCTCCAGGTCCCCCTGCCAGGACCTGCCAGCCTCACCTGCAGCTGGCCTTACCTGCCTCCTGCCAGGGGATGTTTCTCTGCGTCTTCCCGTTGGGCGTCTCTTTGGTCAGAGAGATGTTCTTCTGTGAGGGGAGAGGGACTGGCTGGGACCGGCCCTGTGCAAAGCCCTAACCCCAACAAGGTGGCCCTGCAACCCAGGGTGACCCTGGCCATGCAGATTCCCACCCTGGCTACACGGCAGGTGGCAGTCAGTGGTCCCTAGTCCTTATGCTTTGCGTCCCCATGGCCCTACAACAAACTGCTCAGCTGCAATGGCTTCAAAAGCCTCCAAACGAGAGAAGACACCCAAGGCTCAATTTAAGGTGCAGTGTCACACTTCTGAGACTGGATCTGCACCAACATTCAGGCTGCTTTATGCTGAGTGCTCTTAGAAAATGAACCTGGGGCTCCTCCAGGGCTTAAGATCGCTTTGCTCAGGGAAGAGCCACCCCACAGCAGTGCTGGCGTGGTGGGGACACATGGACACGTGACACCTGCACGATCACGCACAGCATCAGCAGAACTGAGATGAGAGGAGCTGCTTTCACTGCAGCACCTCACCTACCCCCCAAAGGACTCTCTGACTGCATCCTGGGGGAAGCCAAATCTCAGAGCTGGGGACAGAGCAGGAATCTGGGGAGCGCTTGCCTTTTTCCTGCCCTTTTCCTTCAGCCTGGCCTTGCTCTTGGAGGAGCAGACGTTGTGCTTCGTGGACTTGAAGGTCTCCAGACGCCTCTTCATGTTCTGCCGGAAGATCTCTTTGTCTTGGCGCTCTTGTTTATCTGGAGAGATGAAGTGACGGCTGTAGCTGGCCTTGTACTGGCCGAGGGAGAGGCAAAGAGACACAGGGTGAGCAGCTGGCCCCGCAGAGCATCCTCCATCCCCGCTGCTCCCGCGGGCGCTGCTCCCCTCGGGGTCAGGGCGGTGCTGCTCACCCTCCGCCGGGGCTTGTAGAGGCTCCCCCGCAGCACGTGGTGCATGGCAGCGTCCTCCTTGTCGCGGCGGCTCCGCACCGTGTCGATCACCTGCAGGTCCAGGCACGCGCCGCTCCCGCTCTCCCTCCTGCGGGGACGCGGAGATGGAGGGATAAGCTCCGTGCCCGCACCGTGCCAGCCCCGGCACAGCCCACCCCCAGGGAAGAGGGCGGCTGGGACGTGCCCCCAGGGGCTCGCGGGGACGCTCGCACTCACAGGAGGTTGGTGACCGACGACTCCGACATGGACGTGCGGCTGGGCATGGAGGGCAGCGCCAGCTTGGCCGCCGAGAGCACGTGGCCACCCTGGGAGGGGGAGGACAAGGCTGGCGTTGGGGCAGCAAGGACCCAGTCCCCACTGCCTGGCCAGAGGGTTCACATGCGACCAAAACTGGGGGATATCTCTCCTGTCAGGGCCATCCTGCCTCCTGCCCCCAACCACATGCCCTTTTACCTGATCGACGAAGCTGATGGCATCACGGATGTTCAGCTTGTAGTAAACATCCCAGATCTCGTCCCGCAGCCTGTAGGCAGATTTCCGCATCAGGAGCTGGCTCAGGTACTTCTTGTCGAACTGTTCCCACCTGTCATGAGATGACGACACGGGCACTTCAGCCCCCACCGTGTGGCACGGCCAGAGCCAGCTGCCCACGCAAGGCTGGGTGTCCGAATCGTGGCAAAGGGAGGCTGGGCACGCAGGACATGGCTGTGCACAGGGACACACTGCCAGGGAAGGCAGGAGGGGATGGGACCTGCTGACCCCTCATCCCTGCCCTAGGGGAAGCCAGAGACCAGCAGGTCTGTGGGAGGCAGTGGGAGTGGGACTGGGGCCATCGTGGCTGCCCTGCTGGAGCATTTCCCCTCCAGGAAACGGGCTTTTTGCATCCTTTTCCTGTCGCCCTGCTGCAGATAAACACTGCCCAGGCAGGAACAGGGCTGTTCCCTCCTCAGTGCCCAGCACAGCTCCATCCATGAGGAGGCACAGGGCCATTGCCACCCCCACAGACACCCCACGGACCCCCAGCAGCTTCAGCCTTGCCAAGCAATGCCAGCTCTACAACACCACCTCCCTGACCTCTCTCTGGGATGCCTTTGGGACTTTGATCTGCTGCACAGCAGCAGCCAGATGGTACCTGTCCAGACTGATGGGACAGACACACAGCCCTCCTGGTCCTGCTGCCCTGCCTACAGCAGGGGGGTCCTCCCGTGGGGACCCTGTGATGTCCCCGTGGCTGGCACATGTCCTCCACCCCCCTGATGGCTGGCAGAGGGTCCTGGCTGAGACACTCACTTGTCCCGCCAGTAGTGGTAGCCGTGGTGCCCCACGATGTCCTCCACTGCTGCCAGGATGTGGTCAAAGGCCTTGAGTGAGGGGAAGAGGGTGAGAGTGGTGGCAAGGCCGGGGGTGCCCCGGGGGTGGCCCTCAGCCAGCCCTGCTGTTGGGGGCAGCTGGGCAGCCTCTGGCACTTGCACCTACGTGCTCGTGCAGCTCCTCATTCAGTGTGGGCTTGTGGTGGTCACTGCGCTTCACCTTCAGCCACGTCACCAGGGGCTTGATGGTGAGGCCCTAGAATGGCAGGAGAAGGCAAGGGAAAGACTGGGAGGGCGAGAGGGTGCACGGCTGGGGCACGGGGAGCAGAAGCAGCATGAAGAGACCGGGGACAGTGGCTGTGCCAGGCACGTGTGTGCCCCTCCCAGCCCGACCCCCTGTGCCATGTCGTAAGCCCCCAACCCCCTTCCCCTCCTCCCTGTGACTCCCCTTCCTGCAGGAACCCCAGAGCCAAAGCCCACCAGCAGCTTTGTAAAGAGAACAGCTTGGCCAGGCACACACCATCACTGCCCTTGGAGCCAGTCCCAGAACAAGAGGCCAGTGGGGAAAAAACATGGGCCGTGACCCCACCATCACGGTGGTCCTGCACACCTGGTGAAGGGTGGGGTGCCAGAAGGCACCGAGGACCAAAGGTCACTTGAAAAGAGATGCCTTTCCCCAAGCACATGTCCCCAGGCCAGCTCTGGGGCAAACAAAGCAGCACCGGAGGGGGGCACGGCGCCCATCCTCACCTGCACGATGACAGTGAAGAACACCACCACGATGGTGGTTGCCACGAAGTAGTCCTTGGCTTTCACCTTCTCCCTGTCCAGCAGGATGACCAGGGCGAAGGCCACGGCCCCGCGGAGGCCGCCATACGACATGACCACCTGGTCGATCCTGTCCAGGGGGATGAGGCGGAAGCGGTTGAGCACGCAGGTCTGGAGGACAACACCTAGGGGAGAAGGAGAGCCTGGGATGGTGGAAGAACACTGCCTGCTCCTGGGGATAGCACAGGAGCCGTGTTTGGCCTTGTGCCCCAGCCTTTCTTGGGGAGAACCCCTTTTTGGCATGAAAGGGGCAAGGTGCTAGCAGACAGACGCACGGCAGGGCAGACTGACCCACGGCTCTGAAGAGCAGGATAAAGAACAGGGTGCCCAGCACCAGTGCTGTGTCCCACGCCCACTTCGAGGTGTCCACAGCCGAGATGCCCAGAAACATGAAGATGATGGTCTCCGAACTGCTGGCCAGCGTCTTCATGGTGTATTTGACGGTGGTGCGGGATTTCTGGGAGATGTTGGCCTCCACGTACTTCTTGCAGCAGATCCCACAGAAGGTGACTCTGCAGAGGGGCAGAAGGAGCTGGCACGGCCCTGCGGCAGGACGAGGAGCGGGTCTGCTCGCCGCCTCTTGCTGCTCAGCACTGCGACCCCGACCTCCTGGGTCCCTTTTTGGGGGAGGGCGCCCCGGCACTCACGCCAGGATGGAGGAGAGCGAGACCATCTCGGCGGCGAGGTACGCGACGTAGGCCAGCAGGAAGACGAAGAGCGGCTCGATGATGCGCACGCGCTTGGTGAAGCGCGTGATCAGGGCCAGCAGGAAGGCGAAGAGCAGCCCCACGGCCGTGCCCCCCAGGCTCACCAGGAAGAAGGAGGCTGTTGGGAGGAGGAGAATCATCTGCACCAAAGGCAAGCAGATCCAGCTCCTGTGCCCCACGGCTAACCGAGCCCCGCCATCCCACCCGGGGTCCCCACCGAGTATCTCATGGAGCATGGAGTTTTGGATGACACCAAAGCATCCCCTGGAGCACCTGTTATGGAGACAGGCTGACAGAGTTGGGTTGTTCAGCCTGGAGAAGAAAAGGCTCCAGGGAGATCTTAGAGTCTCTTCCAGTATCTAAAGGGGCCACAGGAGGACTGCAGGACTTTGGACAAGGGCATGGAGTGACAGGACAAGGGGGAATAGCTTCAAACTGACAGAGAGCAGGATTAGATTGGATATCAGGAAGAAATTCTTCCATTCTTCCCTGTGAGAGTGGGGAAGCCTTGGCACAGGCTGCCCAGATCAGCTGTGGCTGCCCCATCCCTGGGAGTGTCCAAGGCCAGGTTGGCCGGGGCTTGGAGCAACCTGGGCTGGTGGAAGGTGAACCTGCCCATGGCAGGGAGGTTGGAACGAGATGGTCTTTAAGGTCCCTTCCAACTCAAACCATTCTGTGATTCTCTGCTGGTGGCCAGCATGTGTCTGCTGGGACGGAGATGACAGACCTGGGTGCTCAGTTCCCACCCCACAGGACAACAGCACCCATGCTTGCCCCTCTCCACTTCCTCAATGGAGGCAGAGGGGCTGGTGTGGCACATACTCACCTACCCCCTTCACGTAGTCTGTGGCGTGGATGTGTGCTGGGCCCAGCTCCACAAAAGAGTTGAAGACCTTGTACAGCACCTGCAGGCAAGGCAAATCCTTTGAGGAATGCAGGATATCCTGCCTTGAGAAGGGCAGGAGGGACCCTGTGGAAGAGGCATCTCCTGCCCCAAACCCGCCAGTTGACACAGCTCATCTCAGCTGGCAAAGTCCCCCAGGGCCAGGGGAGAGGAAAGACCAAGAGAGCATGGCAGGGGTCTGCCCAGAGCTTGGGGATGTCACCTGCATCCTCTGACCCAGGAGAGTCCAGCACCCTGGATGGCACTGGGCTCCACATCAGGGTCCCCCAAGCTGCAACTCACCACGGTGACAGCATCGTTCAGGAGAGACTCGCCAAACACGATGATGAAGAGGGTCTCATTCACGTGGACCTCCTCAAAGACAGCCAGCACTGCCACGGGGTCCACAGCTGAGATGAGGCTGCCGAAGAGCAGGAAATCCATCAGCCCGGCTTCGACACCTGGATCTGACAGGACAGAAGGACCCAGGTGAGCCAAACCATCCGCCCCTGGGCCCCTCTCACCGGGCTGAAACGAGCCTGCCCCTCATCTGATCCCAGCTGCAGCATCTCAGCTGGGAGTGCAGTGGGATGAGCCCAGTGAGAGCGTTTCTAGACCTTTGGGGTGCTCCTGTAAAGTGAGGCTCAGCACATCCTTGCTGCAACAGGAGGGGAACATGAGGGATGTCCCCCTGGGCACCCAGGTGCATCGCTGCCCCTCTGGCAGGTACCACCAAAAGAGGCTCAGCAACCCCACCTCAGGTCCGGGCATCAAGCAGTTCCTCAGGTCTCAGGAGAGCTCGAAACACAGCCCAGGCCAGCCAGGGCCAGTGGCTCCAGCCAAGGACGGGGAGCACGGCAGCGAGCCAGCAACGCCAGCCAAGGTCAGCGACAAAAATAGCACAGACATGAATCAACCCAGTGCCAAGCAGGGCCCGTTTGTCCTGCACGCTCGACCGTCCTGCCAGAACAGCACTCCCAGGGTGCCAGGACCCCGTCTCTGCTATAACTCCTAGGAATCCACAGCAGGGAGAGCCAGTGGGCTACGAAATCAGGGTGCTTTGCACCTCCAACCTGCTTTGTGTGGTCCAAGCTGGGCAGCCCTGCACACCCACCCATGAGCCCGGCCCGCTGCAGCCCCCAGAGCGCTGTGCCGGTGGCAAAGGAGTTCCAGAGCGTGCCCACCACCGCGTAGGTGAGGATGGCACCGATGTTGTCGAAGAACAGCCGACTGGGCATGAAGTAGCCCGAGTCCAGGACGATGGGGGGCAGGAGGAAGAGGAAGAACATGTTGGGCTCCAGCTGGTACTCGGCTTTCTTCGCCACGGCCAGCACGATGCCCCCCAGGACCAGCCCCAGCAGGATGAGGAGGCAGCTCTCCGGGACAACGGATGTCACCTTCCTTGACAGGTGGAAAACTGGAAAGGAAAGAACAATGAGAGCATCAGCCGTACAGCCACGTGGACAGAGCATCCCAAATCCAGAGACTCCAGGGAAGGGTTGGGTGATGCATGATGGATGGGGGAAGGACAAGGGAGCACCTCAGGAAAGGCTCTGTCCTGGCCATGTGTGTGCACAGAAGACCTTCCAGCTACCTCCCAGCGCTTTGGGATCTCCCTCTCCTCCTCAGCCACTGACTAATAAGCCAAGCAGCCAGGTACTTTGCTCTTCCTGGCCTCTGGTGTCTGCACTTACAGGACTAGAGCAGAAGGTGAGCACGTTCACAGCGTCACGAGCACTACTGGCTGCTGCTCGAGTGAAGAAATCCTGGTTCACCGGGACATGTCACCCCACTTGGAGACAAGGATGCTCAGCCCTGGTGACGGGGTGACCTTGTTTGCATCCGTCTCAGCAAGAGCCAGAGCAGCCAGCAAACCACTGCAGCACAAGCCATGCCAGAGCACAGCCTCCCTCAGCACTGGCTCACCTACCTGCATGCAAAACCCCAGGCAATCAGCAGCTGCAGCTTTAGAGATGCCTGGAATAATCATTTTATTCCGTGCGAGGCTTGGACCAAAGCTTAAGCTACCGTGGAACAGGATGTATTCTGTGCAGCAAGCAGAGGATGCCCTGCTATCCATCCATCAGCAGTGTGGCAGTGAGCCTGCAGCTCAGGCACGAGCCAGCAGGATGCCAGCACAGGGGACCTGCTCCTCCAGGCACCCTGATCTGCAAGGCCAGGGCATCCTGTGGAATCCTGACTCAGTCCAGCTTCCAGGCAGGCAACCCCCAACCCTCTGGAGACAGCACAGGGTGCTGTATTTTTGCTGCCCCAAAAAGAGCAGTGCTTGGGGAAAGGCTGTCAAGGGTCACAGCAGGTTTGCCCCCACACTGTTGAGTTCTGCCATCACTTGTGACATTCAGCCCAGCTCTGTAGCATGACTTGGCCATCAGAAGAAGAAATCTTCTCCTGGGGAGGGGGTTCCTCCAGGCACTTCCAGAGCTACCCCTGTCCTTGCACACCCAGCAGGTACCACGGATGTCAGGGCAGGCTCTGAGCCGTCACTTGGCTGCAAGCCCAGCCCTGCTGCCAACCCAAAACCCAGTCCCTAAAGCCCTTTAGAGGGATTAAAGGTGCCCATTCCTTGTGCCAAGTCATCCCTCCAGAGGAACAGCTGTGCTGTGGTCATACATCAACCCCAGGTCACTTGGCTGCTTCCCTCCTTCAGAAACCCCATGGACAGACCATAAGGTCTGCCCCGCCCAGGGTCCCGTCTCCAGTGGCACAGACCTGGAGAGGAGCCCAGGAACAGCCAGTGCTTCATCAGTAGGTTTCCATGTCTCTCTATGCCCTTGTCATTCTCCTCTGAACCTGTCCCAGTCTTGCTCTATCCTTTCTGAGACAGATCCCAGCATCCCTGAGATGCTGACACCCCGGGAACTGAGATCACAGCCTCCTGATGTTCTCCCTTCCTCCTCTCCTAACACCTCTTGGGTGATTTGCTTTCCTTCACCGCAGCTGAGCTCTGAATTAGAGGAGAGAATTTAATGCCAAAGATCTGGTTCCAAACCAGAGACAACACCTTTGAGCCCCCCACTCAATGTGCAGGCTAAGGGCCTCTTTTCCTCTCGTTGAGGACCTCGAGAGGTTGCTCCTTGGCACAGTAAGCCCTATCCATGCCATCCTGGCCAGCCCTGGCACTGCTCCCCTGCCAAAACACGCTGGAAATGCTGCTGCAGCCAGCCAAGGGCAGAGCACTGAGGGATGGTGTGATCTGCAGCTCCATCACCAACCACCTCCAGGGGAAAGAGCCTCTGCCATAACTGAGCCACAGGGCCTGGGACATCCCCCCTCAGCTCCAGCCACCTCCACTCGAGGCTACGGGCTGTGACACAGCCCCTAAGGCCGTGGTGACATGGACACTGCAGCCTTCCAAACAGACCCCCGGGCTGGAGAAGGGCTGGCTGAGCTTCATCCAAGCCAAATTCCTGCTGAATGACCACACAAGCTGCTGCAGAGCCCCGTTCACCCCACACGAGCTGCCTCTGCTGGCAGATGAATGGTGCTCGCTCAGCGCCCGCAGCAGGCTGTGGAACCGCTTCCCGCCCACGGCAACAGAGCTCTGAAGTTTTCAAGAAGGGAACGAGGCGTCCAGCCCCTTTTCTGCATGCTCAGGAACGTTGCCAAGATCCCTGTTCCCTGCTTTCGGCAACCCATCTGCATTCCCCGGGCTGTGGGGGGACGTCCTGGCTGGCTGGAGAGCCCCAGGGATGCTGTGGGGACAGGGGTCCTGGCTGCCACCCCTCATGGAAGTGGTCAAGGCCAGGATGGACAGGGCTTTGAGCAATCAGGCCTAGTGGAAGGTGTCCCTGCCCATGGCAGGAGTTTGGGACTAGGTGAACTTTAAGGTCCTTTCCAACCCGAGCCATTCTTAGTTCTGCGATCGCTTCCTGCGAGCCAAAAACTTGGACAAAGAAAGGAGCAGCATCCCTGGGAAAGACCCTGCTTGTCCAAAATGCCCTGGCTGGTGAGGAAAGCTGCCAGCCTCCCAAGCAAACGGCAGCACACGAGCTCCCCTGAGTCGCAGGGAGCTGCCAGTGGGGACGGGCAGAACGAGCTCTAATTTTACACACGCTAGTCAAGCATTTCAGCACTAAAGGTTCCCACAGCAACAGTAACTTAGCCACATGTGAGTTAACTTCAGAGCCTAATCCATACTCAGGCATCCATAATGCAGGATTTGCCATCAGGAGGACTTGGGGCCAAAACCCGCTTTGCTCCTCTGGAGCTTGGGAAATGGCAAAACACCTAAACCGAGATGGGAGCGGCTGGGGACAGAGGTGATGGTGCCAGGAGAGAGGGCTGCAACCCACGAGGGTGCTGCTGGGTGGAAAAACATCTGTCTGCTGATGAACCCCTGCCCATGGGGCAGCTGTGGGTAAGGAGCACGTCTGGGGCAATGCTCCTCACTTCTCTCTTCCCCACATCTCGTGCTCTGACCAAGGACGGAAAAGGCAGCAGAGCCCAGATGATGCCTCCCTGTGCAGGAAGGCAACACCCAAGCCAGTTTTTCCCCGCCCCGGGTGTTTGCTGGCTCGGGGCACCCCAGCATCGTGACTGCCTCCGAGAACAGAGCCCACAGTGTCATTTCCCCATCGCCCAGGCGTGGGGCCACTTCCTCCCCTGCAATCACAGGGCTGTGAGCTGGCAGCCCAGTGCCACAACCACAACGGCTCCCCTGCGCCAGCCTACGCCCAGTGTCCACGGGCACCACAGCTGGCACTGCCCTCTGCACTCCCCCAAATCCTCCACCCCTGGTCCATCTCCTCTGAGGGCTCCTGTGCACCCCAAGGACTGCACATGCCACCTCTGAGGACACCCATGCTCAGGCTCTGAGTATCCATCAGACACGTTAAGCCTGACAGCCCAAAGCCACCAATCATCTGGGTTGTGTCTCCCACGTGAAGAGAGAGAGTGACCATCGGCTTTCCTAAGGCCTGGAAGAGTGTGGCAGGTCTGGGGGCTTGGGAATGATCCCAGCCCAGGTCCCCTTGCACCCGCTGGGGCAAAGTCCAGGGTGATGAGAGGGAAACCTGCACAGGGAGCAGCTCCAGGGAGAGGTTTGAGAGAAGAAAATAAGAGTCAGGGAAGGGAATTGTCTCTCCGATCTTCTGCAGGTAGGAGGGACTCGCTCAGCAGCTGGAGGTGGCACAGCTACAGCAGAGGGCTGTATTTTTAAGCTTACAACGCCCTTTAATTCATTCCTCGCGATGCTTCAGGTCTCCCTTGCGAGAAGGCAAGGAAGGAGAGGAGTGTGAGGTCCCCGATGATGCTTGGGACAGGCAGAGGCCAGCTGGTGGCCACAGCTGTAGCTGTCCCCTGTGCACCGAGCGCTGCTGCAGGTCCCTGGCTGCTCGGAGACTCCCCTGCCTAACTCTGAACCCGCCGGTTCCAAACTAAGAGGGTGCTCTCACCCCCACCACGGGGGCTGTGCCCGCAGCGGGGTCCCCGAGGGGGAAACCTGCCTCAAGGTCACGGTCTCGTCCTCCGGGCCCAGCACTGCAGGGGACCAGCCCCTGGGGACCCTGCTTGGCACCCACGCGCGGCTGTCCCCTCCCCAGCGCCCCGGGTGCCGGTGGGGGAGCCCAGCCCTGCGCAGCTCACACACATCCTCCCCGCGCCTTCCCACGCAGCCTCTGCCGGCAGAGCCTCCCCCGGCTGCGTGGTCCTGTGCCGGGGAGCACGAGAGCCCGAGGCCACGCCGATCCCTAGTGACCCACTGGAGGGGACTGCAGGCACGGAGCCGTCCGCAGGCTGCTGGGGACACATCCTGCCTGCACCAAGCCCTTCCCGGGGCTGGGCCGGGGTGGTGGTGGGGAATCAATGGCTTCCAGACCTGCCAATGGCATGTGCCGTTCCAGCCTTTGGGAACACGGGACATCCTTTGGGGCATCTCTTCCCTCCTCTGCGCCCACCCGTCCATCCGTTGTAGGGCAAACAGCCTCGGGCCCCCCCACCTCGTCCTTCGGGTGGTACCTTCGCCCCGTCCCCGCACATCACCCCACGGCAGGGCACGGAGGATGCGGCGCGGCGTGGGGCTGTCCCCGACCCCCGCGGCCCCGCTGCGGGTGGTGACCAGCCGGCTTTGTCCCCGTGACCCGGTGTGCGGTGACACGTCTCGTCCCGGGTGCCCCCGGGCCCGCCGGCGATGCCGCATATCCCCCCCCCCGCCTTCCCCGGGGGCTGGGCACGGGGGACCGGGGCGCGGAGAGACACGGGGGGACACTCACCGATCTTGGCCAGGCTGGCCACCAGGATCCAGGCGGCCACCAGGCAGGGCGCCTGCACCTCCTGCCACTGCCAGCGCAGCAGCTCAGCTCCCGCCGGGGCGGCGGGGCCGGGGGAGGCCGCCGGGGGCTGCATGGCCCCGCCGCTCCCCGCCGCTCCCCTCCGCTCCGCCGCGGTCCCGGCCCCCGCCCGCGTCACGCGCACGTGGGGCCGCGCCGGGACGGCCCCCGCGCCCCGCCCCGCCCGGGACCGGCCCGCCCCGCACCCCCGGTACTGCCCCCGCTACTGTCCCGGAGCCTCCGGTACTGCCCCAGGGCTCAGCACCTCCCCCAGGCCCCAACACCACCCCGCTCACCCCTTGTACCCCCCTCCATCCCGGCTCACCTGCACCCTCCTAGAGCCCCTACCCTGCCCTGCGCTAACCCCCTTGGCCCATGCCAGCCCCCTGTCCCCATCTCAGTTCCCCCTGCAACTGCCCCAGTGCCACCTGCGTTTTCCTGGTGCCCCCACGCTGCCCCCTACCCCGTGCCAGTCCCCTGGCACCTGCCCAGTGCCCTTTGCATCGCCTTGGTCTCCTGTGCCCTCCCCCGGTGTCCTTGCTCTGTCTGAGTCCTCCCACGCTCACTCAGCCCTACTGCATCCACCAAATTCCCAATTTCCCCCCACACCTGATCCCACTCCCAGCCAGCTCCTCCCCAGCTGAGACCACCCACCCCTGCCCCAGACTGCCTGAGCACCCAGGGGGGCACCCAACATTCCTGTCTCCCCCTCACCTCCTCAGCCCCTCTCAGATGTCCCTAAAAGCTCCTGCTTGGTGACTGGGCCATCTCCCCCTTCTCCAAGAGGTTCCCCATCTCTCACATCCCTTACTGGAGGCTCCCAGCTCCAGGGCCCCATGTCCTGGGCAGGCTGGGGAAGGGGGGCTGGAGCCAGGAGCAGGGGGAAAGCTCCCTGCCCACCACTCCATCACATCTGACCATCCTCACTGCCCAGGTAATCTGTCAAAAAGAAAGTAAAACGGTTCTTGCACAAGCGTTGCCTTGTGGGATTGTCCTCTGTGTGCCCAGAGACGCTTCGTAGAGTCCTGGAATCGTTTAAGTGGGAAAAGCCCTCTAAGATCATCACGTCAAACTGCTACCCCAGCACTGCCAGTTTCACCACTAAACCATGTCCCCAAGTGCCACAGCTACACGTCTTTTAAACACCTCCACAGCCCTGGGCAGCCTGTTCCAGGGTTGGACGATGCTTTCCATGAAGAAATTTTTCCTAATATTTAACCCAAACCTCCCCTGGTGCAACTCGAGACCATTTTCCTTTGTGCTGTCTCTTGTTACCTGGGAGAAGAGCCCAACCCCCCACCTTGCCACAGCCTCCTTTCAGGGACCCCAGGCAGTTGTGGACTAATGCTGACTCCAAGAGCAATGACACCTTCTCATGTCAACCGTCCCATCCCTGGCACATCCATGTTTCCCTCCTGGGTCTCCTTTGCATCCTCATTTCCAAGCCTGCCATAGCCTTGGCAATTAACACAACGTGGTCCATCGTTACCATTGACACTTGGATGTATAACACCCTCGTTAGCATCAACACAGTCCTTGGAGGCCCCGAGCTGCACCACGGCACCCAGGACTCCGGGCCGCTCATCCCGTGCCAGCTCCTCCCTGCCCGGCACGGGGAGGTGCAGCCCAGGCGCCCACCCGTGCTCCGGTTCACCCGGGGCAAGCAGCCCTACCAGCCCCCAGGCCCTGGAGCATCCTGGGGTCTGGATCATCCCAGTGGAGCCCTCCAGTGCCTGGAGTACCCCTGGGGCAGGAGCATGGCGGGGACTGGAGCATCCCGCAGCCTGGAGCATCCCTGCTGCCGGAGCAGCCCCTGGAGCATCCCGGCGGGATGCCCGCGGGAGGGCGCGCCGAGCAGCGATTCTGCTGGCGGGACGGGGCGGGCCAGAGGGCAGGGCCGTGTCCGTGTCCGCCCCGCCGTGCCCGGGAGCGGCGGCGCTCGGGGCCGCGCCGGCGGCGGGGCCGTGGCCATGGGGGAGCCGGCGGAGGCGACGGTGCCCTGCCGGGTGCAGTACCTGGAGGATGCGGATCCCTTCGGCTGCGGCAGCTTCCCGGAGCCCCGGCGAGCCCCGGTTTATGCCGTGGAGGAGGCGCTGGCCCTCGGGGCGCAGCTGCCCGCGCTGCACCGCCTGCTCGGGGCCCCGCTGCCGGTGAGGGGGAGCGGGGCTCGCGGGGGAAAGCACCGGGCGGGTACCGGACGGGGGCAGGGGGGATTGCCGGCCAGAGGGGGCCGGGGAGGCGAGGGATGGGGCGGTATATCCCGGGCAGCGATTCCGGTGTGAGTCACGGCGAGATGCCGGAGCCCCCGCGGGAGATGCCAGGTCTCGGCCGGCCCCGGATGAGTCGGCAGGGAGGAAGAGGTTGTGCTTGCTCAGAGCAGGCAGGAACCCAGGCAGGGGAAGGCAAGCGTCCAACCCCGTGTGGTCGGGGCAGAGCCAGGCAGGGTGCTCCCACCCCGGCATCCCACTTCCACGCCGGCCACCAGGAGCAGAGCTGAACCTCGACGGGACCACGACAGCTCCCTAACCCCGGGGACCCGTCCAGCGTTCCCACTCACTGGGGCAGCTGGGCCTTGGGGAGGTGACAGAGGGGCCGGAGAGGCTCCTTGTCAGCCCCTCGTCTGCCCCTCGTCTCTCCCCGATCTCGAGGCACCTTTGCCGCCAGAAAGCAGCGCGGAAATTCATGCTGAGCAATTTCCTCCAGCCGGGAGGAAGGCAGAAGGACGAAGGTGAAGCGAGGCATTGTGTCTCGCTTCTGTGTCCTCAGGCCTGACTCAGGCTGGTAACACGGGGCTGGGAAGTGGAGGAGACAGGGGAGACTTCCCTGTTGGCGTGATGCATCCTTCTCAGGATGGGGCAGGCTTGTTTTGCTCCTCAGGAACACGGGACCCAGCAGAGCTTTGGCAAGGGCTGAGCATCTGTCTTGCAGCACGGCAGGAGTGCAGGGAAGGGAGGCAGGAACCCAGGCAGGATCCCAGCCTGTCTGGGGGAGTGTGGAGTCAGGGCCGGAGAGGAGAGATGGGACAGCAGTAGGAGGAGATCAGCTTGGTGTGCCTGGCACTGAGCTTGCTGGCCTGCCAGGGGAGAGCGGATCGCTGTGAGACCTTTGTGTGCACCAAAAAAAACCCTCCCCTTTATCCCCCCCTTTAATTTTTCTTGGAGCAAAGCAGCAGCGTCTCGTGTCGCCGTCATGGCATTTTTAGGCGATTTTTAGGCGGTGACTAAACGGGGTTTGTTTGGGAACAAACAGCCCCGGGACATGACGAATGGAGCAAACTCAAGTTTCAGGCGTGTGCTCTGCTCCCCGGGCAGGAGCTGGCTGTAACGGGATCGCCGTGCTGCCATGGTGCCACGGGGAGGGGACGGGACGCAGAGTTCCCGAGGGCACGAGCCTTGCAGGGAGCTCCTGTGCCCAGCAGAGGTGTGTTGATCCCGGGATTTCAGCTTCTCTGCCTTAAGCCGAGCTTTGGATTGTTTTTTTTTTCCTGTAGTTTCCTTGCAGAGCCCCACGACCCTTGCTGAAATCACAGGTGAGCTGGTAGGACCCTGTGCTGGGTTTATAAACCAGATTCCGGAGTTATGTAGATTCTACAGGTTACAAACCATGCTGCCTTTACCACACCAAGTTTTCTGAGCCAGCGAGGGCTGCAGGATGTCCCACCTGACAAACTGGGATGCTGGCTGGGGATTGCATGAGCCGGTGCCTTCACTGGGAGCCTCCTGCAGTGGGATTTACACCCTGTGGAGTGAGGTCAGCCTCCCAAAGCACCCAGTTAAGTCCAAAGGCAGAGCTGCAGCCGTGCAGATGTTGTCACCGTGGTACAACCAGCTGAAACCTCCCCTGGTGCCCTTTGTGCCAGGTAGTGCTCGGCTCCATTAGTCGCCACCCTAAAATTAGTAAATGAACAGTTGGATTTTTCCCAAGGAACTGGCTGTAAAAAAATTGAGCTGGGGATGCCTGGTGCCAGGTTTGTCCTGCTGGGCAGCGTGCCTGGACCTGCAGAGCACGATGAAGAGGATGAAGCAGCTGGGAGGGAGCTGAGTAGGGGTCCCTGTATTGCCGTCATGGGATTGAGCTACAAGCACCCAGGGGATGAGCTGCCATGGGGGAGCAGCCGGCTCCTGCCCTCCCTGGGCACAGCAGAGCTGCACCCTGCGCTGGGAACAGCCTAGAGACGATGAGCAAGAGGTTTGAACAGCCTGTCCTGCCCCATGACACCCTCAGTGCTTCCTCTCCCCGAGCACGACCCGTCTCTGATGACTTTTTCATGTTCTCCGGAAAGTGTGTTTGTGCTTGGAAATACCTTCCAGCTTTGTTTGCTGCTGCTGCATTGTTTGCCTCCAGGCTGATACTATCTTCTCCTGCTTTCCAGCATTTTTCAGTACCCCAGGGTGATGCTCGTGTGGGGTGTGGGTGTTTTCTGAACCCACAGGTTTCGACAGGGCAGGTTTTTTTGGCCGGCCTCCTTTCAGTCCCCAAAGGCCTCTGTACTCCCTTGCCCCCAGCACTATCTCACCTCCGAATCTGGGGATTTTTCCAAACAATTGCAAAACCCAAGAGGCTGGAGTTTTTGCTTTCTTCTTCCTCCCCTGGAAACCTGGGAAGAGCAAACAGCTCACTGGCCTCTGTGCCATAAGCTGACCGAGAACTCCTGTGCTCGACAGAGGAGCTGCTGGTGAAGTGCACAAGCTCCATCCCACAGCCCCGTTGCCCTCCATTTCCCAACGGGCTCGGGGGGGGCTTTACTGAGGGTCTTTGCCCCACTTAACCTCTGGAAGGCACAGAAGCATGAGATGGGGTCCTCAGTGGCGCTGAGTGTCGCACACTCAGAGCTAAGTGTTGGTGCTGCCATGGTTTTCCCAGGACGCCGGCTGCTCCCTGGAACTGGGGTCCTCACGCTGCCTCAGGCCTGTTGATGAGTAATGAGGGATCTGTTAATGAGCAATGGCTGGAGGACCTTCAAGAGGGACACACGTGTGAAGTTCTGGGCCAACTCGCAGTGACCTCCAGAGATCCCTCCTGGCTTGGGTGTTATCGCCCGCCCCCGGTGATGAGGCAGTGGCAGTGTTCCCATCCACT